GGACTGAAAGGCTACTCTGTTTGCTGAGAACCTTATTTTCATATGTTTCTGTGATTCTGTTCACATCCTTTTGTTTCAATTTTTGATTTTTATTGTTTGTTTTTATTACAGTCTGATTATTTGTCTGATTTTAATACAAATTGACCTTTTTGGTTATTATTTGCTTAATATATCCTTTTCTGTCCTTCTACTTCCAGACTATGTGTGTCTGTAAATCTAAAATGACTCTCTTACAGAGGGAGTATTTTTTTTTTTTTTTGGCTATTTAGTGACTCAGCACCTTTTGATTGGGGAATCTAATTCTTTTACATTCAAGGTGATTACTGATAGTGAAGAACTTATTATTGCCATTTCATTCATCATCTTTTAAATGTTTTGAAGCTTTTTGGTTTCTCCTTTCTGCTTGTATTTGCCTTCCTTTGTGTTGCTTTTTTTTTTGTCATGGTATCCTTTGATTCTCCTTCTTCTTGTGTGTGTGTGTGTGTGTGTGTGTGTATCTTATACCCATCTTCTTGGGGGGTTACCATTTCAATTACATAAAACAAAAAGTTATAACATTCTATTAAATGCTATTAAATTTACAGCATGCAATTTTTAAAAATATTTCTTTTAGTTGTAGTTGTATTCAATACCCTTATTTTTATGTGGTGCTGAGGATCGAACCCAGCATCTTGCACATGCTAGGCAAGTGCTCTATCACTGAGCCACAACCCCAGCCCACAGCAATCAATTTTGAAGTAATAGCCTAACTTCAATTCAGTACCCAAACTCTATGCTTTTACAACTTCACCTCTCCCCTACTCCATGTTTTGATTAACAAATTGCTTCTCTATTTATTATATATCTGTTAATATAGATTAATAGTGAAAATTCTGTTGCAATTTAAATCATACACACCAAAATTATAATACAGGCTACTCTATTTGCTGAGAACCTTGTTTTCATATGTCTCTGGGTTTCTGTTCACTTACTTTTGTTTCAAATTTTGATTTTTTTTGTTTTCCTCCTTTTTAGATGTACATGCAGTCGAGTATATTTGGGTATATTATACATGCGTGGAGTATAACTAACCATTCTTGTGGTTGTACATGACGTGGACTTTTGTCTCAACTTGAAGGCCCCCTTTAGCATTCTTACAGAGGTTTATTCACCTGGGAAAACTTTAATTTCTCCTTCATTGTTGAAGGGCAATTTTGCCAGATACTACATTGTTGTTTGACATGGTTTCTTTCAGCACTTAGAATATATCATCTTGCTCCCTTCTGACCCCAAAGTTCCTCCTGGGAAATCTGCCAACAATCTTATGGAAGTTCTCTTGTTTGTTATGAGTTGCTTTTATTTTCTGCTTTCACTATTCTCCTTGACTTTGACTTTAGATGGTTTGGTTATAATGGAGGATCTAGGAGTAATTTTTCACTGGGTTTACCTGAGTTGAAGTTCTTGAAGCTTCTTGAATTTGTGTAAAAATTTCTTTCCTCAGATTTAGGTAGTTTCTTGCCATTTTTTCTTCAAATAGGTTCTCTGTGTCTTTCTCTCTTTGTAGATTCTGATGATGCATTGGCCCAGTTGGTGAGCTTACAAAAAAATATTTTATAAGACATAAAGGAAGCCAATAATAGACGAGAGAAGTGACAAAATCCCCTTCAGCTGTTTTTATTTTTCTTCCTTCCTTTTTCTTTTTGTTTCTCTGACTGGATGATTTCAAATGACCCCTCTTCAAGATCACTGGTTCTTCTATCTGATCAAATCTCTGTTCAACCCCTCTAGCAAAAATTTTTTTTTAGTTCAGCTATTGCAATTTTTAGCTCCAGAAGTTGATTGGTTGTTTTTTTTAAAAAAAAAATAATAATTTTATCTCTTTGTTTACATTCTTGTTTTATTCATGAATTATTTCCCTGGTTTTGTTTAGTTGTCTGCCTGCATTCTTTTTCCAAAAGCTCTTTGAGCATATTTATGACAGCTATTTTAAATTCTTTGTCAAGCAGCGCATAGATCTGTATTTCTTTAGGGCCACTTTCTAAGGCTGTGTGTGTGTGTGTGTGTGTGTGTGTGTGTGTGTGTGTGAGAGAGAGAGAGAGAGAGAGAGAGAGAGAGAGAGAGAGACTGACTTTGAATTGTGTTTCTCTGTTTCTTTGTATGCCTCTTGATCTTTCATTGAGATTTGGGCATCTAGGAAACAAAAACAACAACAACAACAAAACAGAAAGCCTTTGCATACTATCCATATTACCTTTGTACAGGGAAGGACCTTCACCAAAGAGAGGTGCTAGAGATTCTGACACCTCTCAAACCTCTTCTGATCTCTTGCTCCCCCTCTTGGCCACTCCTGGAACTGCAGCTCCATTGTGTGGTTTGCCTCTATTTTCAGTGACTTCCTGTCTAGAACCCTGGGTCTCCAAGTCAGGAGAGGCAGAAACCGCTTTTTCAGTCAATTCGCAGACAATCCAGAATGTGGAAGGCATGGTTCACTCTTTCTATAACAGGGGAGGGGCTCTGGTACAGAGGATTTTCTGTTGATTATGCTGTGCTATGCCATGGAAGGGGAAAGGGGAGAATGGACGCGCGGAATACCGTACATTCGCCTATTTGCTGGACTCTTTTCTTGGTTTTACCTTGATCTGCTATAACTTATTGGCTGACCTCTGGAGTTCTCACAAAGGTGTTCTAGTCTGCATGGTTGCTAATTCTGTGTCTTTGGTGGGGAAAAGGAGGCTCTGGAGCTTGCTAGTTTGCCATCTTACTGAAGTCATGTCTGGACTTTTTAAAAAAATCTTGTATTCCAGCTGCAATATGTTCTCCTCACAAGACTGTCCCTTGTTTCACTGTAGAAAAGCCATCTGAAGAATTTCTCTGTAGGCCCACCTACCCCACAACAAATGGAGGAAGCAAACTCAGTGTCCAAGTCTACTTACCCAAACATGTCCTTCTTCCTTGTTACCTAAAATAACTAGTGTTATTTTAACACACATGTATGAATGGGAAAAGAAACAAACTATTAGAGCCCATCACCAGCCAGACAGGAGGTGAGATGTGTATTCCATAATTATATTCCCTTCAATTATAGTAAGTATTATTAATGAAATTAATGTTTATTTCCAGCTCCATGGCCTCTCATTGACAAACATTGAACACATCATTTTCTTTGATCTTCCCACTGGAACACAGCATGGTCTTGCTTTCTTTCAGGATTTAGAAATCTTTTTTCAGGTTTCAGGTATGGAGTTATGTGTCCTGAAACTTCTACTCAGAACCAATACACAACGAATATTATACTTTCTCTAGTCTTGGAAAACACAGGCTCATAGCTCATCATGATTTGATGTAGAAACATGAATTATACCATTTATTGCTCCTAAAGAATTATGAAGATATATACATACACACATATGGATTATTTTTTAGAAGTGGAACTATAATTGCTTTTCCACTTGATGCCACATTAGGATTATCATTCCATGACACTGAGCATTCTTTCATAATTTTTAATGACTACACTGTATTTTAATGAACTGTTTTTTAAAGGAAGAATTGAATTATGTCATTTAAGAAGTAAGGATGGAGTGGGGAGGAGAAGAGACCTTTCTAGCCTGGGGAAGCTGCCTGGGCATATGCACATGGATATATTTAAAGTTTTTTGTGCTATATTTGAATGCATGTTCATCTAGGCCCATAGCTCAAGCTGTTTTTATTGTACCAGAGATGTTTCAATAATGTATTGAAAATATATTTACCTGGTTTATTCATTCATCCATTAATGCATTCAAGTTGAACAATATTTGTTGAGTGTTACAATGTACCATACTACATTCTAGGAACAGAATTGAACAAAAGAGGAATTTATACTTTGGTGAGCAAGACCTACAAAATAAATAAATAAATAAAATAAACAACTCCAAAAACCTAAAAGTAAAAAAGCAAATCTATATAGTGTTTAGTTAGTAAAAAGTACTATTAAGCAAAAATATATGGAAGGCCATTGTTTGGAACTGAACTCTGACATTAGTCCCTAGCTGACCTGACCAAAACAGAATGGATTCACTTGTGCTAAGTGACATGATCAAACTGAACTTTGAAACAGTCCAGTTTCACTCACAGCAACCAATCTGAGGCAGTCCAGTTTGTCTGAATCAGCAGGGTGCTGAAGTCCCTTCTGTTTTAGTTTCATAAGGCAAGTGATTTTGAAATGACCAGTTTTAGCTTTTTTTTAATGCTTTCTTTAGCCTTTTTCTGCCTATAATGCCAACTTTCTCTTCTCAGCTCATAAGGTATCCATTCTATTTCATAGAATGAGGTGTTGTGTAATTCCAGAGTCACAAAAAAAAAGCAACTAGATCTTTTATGTTTGTTTTAATTTTGCCTTTTACAGTGCTAAGGGAAGGCAAGCATAAAATAGATGCATATGTGTCAAAGTTTAGATTGCACTTCCAGGGAATGTCTCACTGTTGGGGAATTTGAGTGAAGGAGCAATTTAGGCATTTAATCTGGGGTAGAGTTTTCTAGGCAGAGGAATGGCAAGAGCAAGTTTCCTGAAAGAGATGTGTTATGGTTTAGATATCAGGTGTCCCTTGAAGCTTAAGTGTGAGACAATGCAAGAAGGTTTAGAGTGAAATGATTGGGTTATGAAAGGCTTAACCCAATCAGTGAATCAATCCCCTGATAAAGATTAACTGTATGGTAACTGTAGGCTGTAGGGTGTGTTTGGAGGAGGTGGGTCACTGGGGGTGTGCCTTTGGGTTATATATTGGGTAACCTGAGCTTAGTCTGTCTCTGCTTTCTTGTGTAACATCTTGAGCCACTTCCCTCCACCACATCCTTCCATCATGATGTTCTGCCCTGAGGAATGGAGCCACTGTCTAGGAATGAGACCTCTGAAATCATAAACTCCAAATACACTTTTCTGCCTCTAAAATTCTTCCTGGCAAGCCTTTTAGTTACAGCAGCAAAAAAGCCAACCAATACAAGGTGTGTGCCTGGTGGTTTTGGGGAACAGGGAGATGCTCAGTGTGGCCAGAAATGGGAAAGTAGAATGCAGGATGAGAATAATGGGTTATGGGGTTAGGATGGAGAGCATCCTAATAATGTATAGCAGACAGTGAGTGACTCCTACAGATGTCGGCTTTAACCCCAAATTACATGGGAGTCAGTGGAGGTTTTTAATCAAATGAATGAGATACTTTAGCTGTCATACGGAGCACAGATTATAGAAGAGAGAGTTGAGAATAGGGCAGAGTGTAGAAGCAGGAAGGCCAGTTAGAAGACCAGATCTGTACACAGGAGAGAGATGGAATAGCAATCAGAGGGATGGGAAAAAGTGGTTCAAGGAAGAGACTGTGAATCACCATCTCCAGTGCTGCTGGTCAGCCAAGCAAGACGAGGGCTGAGAATTTGAATTTGGAAACGTGGACATTGTGGGTGACGTTGATAAGAGCAGTTTTGCTGGAATGGTGGACTTAAAAGTCCAAGGGAAAGGCAGTCAAGAGAATGGAAGAATAGATATGAGAAAGTATGGCACTACTTTCAGAAAATTTTCTTTCAATTAATTGAAACAGTAGCCAGGGGGATTGGTGGAATCAACGGGAGTGGGGTATTTTGATTTAAAAGAAAATATTGTTTATAATAATGGAAGATTCAGGAGAGAGACAGAAACACTGACTGTGCAGGAAATTGTATGTCGAGGAATTTTTTTTGAAGTCTATACTTACCTTATGACGTGCCACATGATGCTTTCTATTCTTTTCCAGTCTGTTCTGTTCCATTCTGGGCTGATCATGCTGTATTCAATTGATTTCACAACTCCAGATTTGAAAAAAAGCACTGTATCCTACTGTGCTGCCTAAATTTAAGTCCCCTCTTCTCACTTAGAATTGTCTCTGCAACAATACTCACTGGGGGAGAAGCTTTACTTGGAAAAGTCTGGGCAGCACAGTTGATAGACACTTGGAAAAACCCAAGAATATTTTGTTTTACAGACTGGATGTGTTGACAGCCTGAAGCTCAGGAGCCTAAGGGTTACTCAAACAGGACTCCTCAGTTAATTAAAGTGCTAACACTGTCTGCATCGAGTCCGTGAGTCCAAAGCCATCCATATGCACAGACACCGGCCCCATCTAAAAGAGCAAGAAAGCAAATGAGAACTGATGAAATATTCATCCTCCTGATAATTTTGTTTGTTTTTTGGAGACTTGGTGTTTGCGTTTGCCCTACTAATATGAATCTTTGGCATTTTAACACACTAAATTGACATTTTAAAATGAGTGGGTGAATGAAGCTTGTTTTCCAAGGGAATGATATTTTCTTGATTTCATATATGAGGGACGATTAATTGTCCCTGATGATAAAACATCAAAAAAGAGAGCACACATAAGATGCAGATACACATTAATATAGGTACATTAACAGTTAAAGTATTTTGGAGTATATTCTGCTCATCTACATACACAGATGCACACACACACCTACTACATTATCTTGTAATTAAAATCATATGCATACTTTAGAGACACTCAACAAATACTCAATAAATGAATGCATGAAGAAATGCATAGCCAGATAGGTACGTGCAGCCCAGTAACTTACCTAGCCTTGAGCTCTGACGTACCTTTGCTTTTCTTCCTTCCTATTCCCCCTTGAATGTATTTAGAGAAAAGAATATTTACCCTTCTTAAATGGGCTGTGATGTGAATATATATTATTGAAATTACCATGAACTTTAAAGAAGAAAGTGTTTTTGGAATGATAATGCCACTTAGCTACCTTTTTGCTTGACCCCAAATCATCTAGTAAGGTTGGCTGGTGATAAGAACGGTGTGCATGAATTTTTATCTCAGAGTGGAAATAAAATATTCTTATTTAAGTGGGGTTTAATTTGGAAATGCAAAAATGTGAGACTTGAGGAAACTGGGTTATTCACATTTGCATCAACCCCACCCGTCTCTCTGGTCTCCTTCCTTTTCTTATGGGGACACATCAAGATGACATTGCTTCAGATCTGGGTACACCGCTTCTCGCCTTCTCTCTCCCTCTTGATGAGCAAAGACTTTCATCTCAGGCTTTGTACTCACCATTGCCTGATGTTTGCTCTTACTTTACGTGACACATTCATGTCCCAGACAAGAAGAATAGGAAAGGAGCCAAAAGCCCATTAGAGATGAGCCAACCATTTTCATAAACCCTCTCTTGGAGAGGATCATAATATTGGCTGAATATATAGATTTTGGAACTTCTGAAATGGCATCTTATCTAGAAGGAGACTGCAATGAACCCCTTTCATATGTGAATGCTATCTGGGTTTTACTCTCCTGCATTGATGTTGATAGTTAAATAATAGTTTATGAATGTTTCTGGTGCATGTTTTGAATCTTTAGATTAAGGAAAATCAAACAGGGTTGCCAGACTTACAAATAAAATACAAACACCTGTATAAATTTGGGTTTCAGATAAATAATAAATATATTCTTAGTATGTCGCAAATATTATTGGATGTAATTTCTTTTTTTTTCTTTCTTTTTTTTATGATACTGGGAATTGAAACCAGGGGAATTTTGCCACAGAGCTACATCATCCCCAACCATTTTTGTAATTTTTTTTATTGAGATACCATCTCACTCAGTTGCTGAGGCTGGTCTCACCCATGCAATCCTCCTGCCTCAACCTCCCGAGTCTCTGGGATTGCAAGCATGTACCACTACACCCAGGCATGGTACATTATTATATTATATTAAACAAATATTCATTGTTCTTTCTGAAATTCAAGTTTAACCGAGTCTCCTGAATTTTATCTAGCCACCTTCTTGGACAGGAATCTCTACTGTGGGCCAGAGCTTTCAGCCATGGGCTAACTCCCTAGAAGTGATATTATCATGCATCATAAAATACAAGGTGTATCATAAAATACAAATTTTAAAGTTATTGACATTGACCCCATGCATGAGAACTGTTTGTTAAAGAAGGAAGAAAAATAACTGTTAACTCTTTTAACACATAAATATTTGTCTTGTCATTTGAGGGACAATTTTGAGCCTATATAAGAAAACTTATTCTATGAAGAAGATGATTTATTCACCTATAAATTTTCAAGTAATGGCAGGCTGTGCAGAAGGTATAGCTTATGTGTTCATAGACTGAACCCAGAGTGCTGTTGCTAAAGGTTCTAGGAATAGACCACTATAATTAATCAGTTCTAATTTGCAACATCTTTAAAAGTCTCATCCTGGGAATTAGATTCCAACCTTCAGGATAAATAATTGTGTAGACCGGCAGGCAAGCTCACTGTAACTTGCCATCCCTGATCTTGGGACTTATTTTCTCTAAAATGCCTTATTGACATTCTTTGCCACCAAAGAATGACTTAAAGCCTGGCAGCAAAAACCTTTGCTAAGAAGTATGAACTAATTTTATCTACTCTGAGATTCATTTAGCAAATGAGCTATCCCTACCTACTCTCCATTCCCGTGGGCTTTCACAGAGAGATGCAAGAAAAAATGGGGCAATCGATATCACTGGAAAGAAAAAAACATACATAAAATGAGACAAGACTATCGTCTTACTAATTTGTGTGGTGCATCAGGAAAAGGAAGTAATAACTCTTTCTCATCGATTTTAGAAAGTGTATAACTGAGGACAATGTTGATTTGCTAGAAACCAAAGGAAAAAAAATCTCTTGCCTTGAGACCATACACAGGCAACTGTCAAAGCCAACAAGTCTCTGCACACTGATAAGGCCAGGAAGTAGGCATAAAGTCAGATAAGAAAATCAGTGATTTGATGCAAGCATGTCAAATCCAAGGGCAAAGATCATTTTGATTTCAAATGGTCCATGGAATTGGCAGTGATTAAAATAGACTTCTATATCTGCTTGGAAGACCACCACTTCAATGGTGATTGCCTGATCTGAGAGGGGCTCTATCTCAGGGATTAGATGTACCAGGCACAAGAGACAGACAGATAAGCTCCCACTATCTTGATTGCTTTGGGGCATGGTATGAAGAAGAAGGGACGGCAGGATATAGAAAGGAAAAGGAAGTTGGGAATGTTGAGGTGCATAATCAACCCATGTGTCAGAGAAGGCTTCTCATTACAGCAGCAACAAGAGGGAGGTGGCTACGATTTATTAACTCCCTATCGTGGGTCAATTGTAGATAGGGTCATTGAGCTGTGAGAGGTAGATTAACTTGCACAAAGTCACACAGTCATTCAGTTTTTTTTTTTTGTTTTTTTTTTTTTTTTTGCTGTGACGCCAGATCAGTGTCAGGGGCATGTTTTCTAGTCTAAAATACTATCCCCACCATTTTTTAATGTTTCTGCTTTGCTGTCCTCTCTATCACCAAATACTACACATTCCATATCCCCTTATCACTCACATTTGAAAACTTTCCCAGTGGCTCAGTGGACATGTAGCTTGGTTTCTCCATCACAGAGACTGTACCACACTCAGCAGTGTTATAGAAATATTAATACTTTGGATTTTGGAGATCTGGGTTTGGGTCTTTAGTGTTGTTTATTCTTCCTTACTTTTGCCAACAATATTTTTGAACGGTAAAAGCTAATTTATTATGAAGTGAATGAAAACTTAACTTTCAGGGGTCCTCACTCGGCATGGGCCCTTACTAAATTCTTGGGAAAGGGTCTATCAGTAAGGTCATTTGGTCAAATATTTTTGTAAAATTTGCAATAATGAGACTTTCACCATCATCAGTAAAGACCAGCCCATCCTTTTCACTCAGTTTTTTTTATCTGGGAATGAAGGACGGTCAGGCATTTCTCTATTCTTGCTAAGGTAAGATCAATTGAGAATGCATTTAGTCTGTGCTTCATGGGCTCTCGTATGTGGTTCTCAGTCACTGAATGTGGTCTGGCTACAGCTGAGCATCCTGATGTAGGAGGGCTTCCAGCAATGCTCCTGCTGTAGGCTGCATCAGCCCACCCAGGGTTTGGTATGAAAGTTGGACTTGACACCATAAGCATGTGGGTAGTCAGGGAAAACTACCTAGAAGGAGACTCTGGAAAATTCTTCCAGTTACTAGTGAAGTAAAACTGAAAGTGGAAATTTTGGTTCTTCTTGACTTGTGGTCAAAGAGAAGCAGAAGTTCTCTTTGGTTAGAAACATACTAAAAAAAATTATAGCAGATACAACTATAAACCCACAGGGAATGGGTTTTGTTTTGATTTATTTTATGAGACACAGAAAATTTTTATTGTCACTGGAAGCAAGGGATCTTGCCCCACTTCACCAACAGCCAATAGTAACAAAAATACAGACTTCACACAATAAAATATAACACAAACATAGGGGAAAATAGTCCCTGGGACTACATTGGCTTTGATACTGAGGTAACCAATTGACTTTGTTCAGTAAAAATATAAAATACCCTCTGACTTAATGAAAATACAATAATCAGCTACTTGCAACATTTAATTCATATATACAATGTAAATAAAATACACTCTTTGCTTGAATGTATACCATGTTTAATATATTAGTGTTTAGAAAAGAAAAACTCTATTCTACTTAATTTTTTTTGTTGTTGTTTAAAGTGAGACCAAAACACAAACATTAGCCCAGGGTCGAGATCATCAGTATCACTGTCTTCCACTTCCTTATCCCATGGAAGGTCTTTGGTTCTACCACTGGGACCACCATTGTATATGTATATTCCTGACTAAAATGTTCCTATGTGATGCATGACTACTAAAAAGTATTGAGTTGGTTTCTGAGATTGAGAGTTTTATCCCCATGACATATTGACACTGACCAAGGTAACATGGGCCATCACAATGAAGACATCAGTGACAAACTGTTGAGTGTCATCAGTATATTTGATTGATCATTGTGCCAGAAACTTGAAATGCCCTAAAATCCTATAGCTGTGCATGGAAGAAACTGGATAGATGTGTTTCCAATCAAAAGAACTTAGGTGACAATTACCAATAACAACTTGTAAAATTGAACTACTAGTACAAAATAAACAATGAGCAGATCAAACAATATAAAAAAGAAAAAAAATGAAATAAAACCTTAACCAACTATGATCTTTAGAAAATGATACTAGAGGGGCTGGGGATGTGGCTCAAGCGGTAGCGCGCTCGCCTGGCATGCGTGCGGC